TTAATTACCATGTGGCAAAATAAAATAGATTTAATTCTAAATGCTTTTCTTATTAAACCTCCAACTAGGAATTTGTGTAGGAAGAAAGGGAGGGCAAATCCTTTATACAATCAATGTAAGCAAAACATGTTCATTATTATCTTTTTAATTCATATAATTTTTTATTCCTAATTTCCTGTACAATTGCCTGCAATTCCACACGCTATTTTAATGAAGAATCAGCATCCATCTACATACTTAAATTTTGGTGCCAGAATTATCTGGATGACTTCACCTCTTCTCTTCCCCATTATCTAAGCAGCCTTTACCCACTGCACCCCACCCTTTTTTCTCATAGTTATGTGTCCCCATGATGGACTCATGAAAAGTATCATTACTAGTGATGGTTGCAGGAATTAAAAATCAAATCTTCAAGCTTAAATCTACTTTTTGAAGCATTTAAAAGGTAACCTTAGCAGCCTAATAATAAAATAGAACCAATTAAAGTATTGGTATAGGAAAATAAAAGGCCATGTGATACAAAAACAATACAAACTATTGATGCCATTAATGAAAACACTTTTATAAAATGCATAGCAGACTAGCTTTTTTAATGCTTGGAATATTTATATTCTAAAGTATTTTTTAAATAGAGAGATAAATTAATGCATTCAGATTGTGCTACCAGTGAACCAGAAAATAGGATGGTACTTCCAATTCATTTTGTGCATTATTGTGTGGATGATTAAAGCTTTTGAAACAAAATTAAAGTGCTTAATAAGCAAAGATTCATTTTTGTAGTTTATAGATAAATGACCAGGTACTTACTTTTTATTTACAATTTAACTGAAAATTTGTTCATTCATAATAAAAAAAGATGGGTCATAGTAAATTATGTATATATCTGTATTTTTAAACTATTTTCTGTTTTAAAATGTTATTGATCCTAACAATAACACAAGACATTATCTTCAAGTTCATTTCATTTTTAAATAAATTTGTGTCTATGAAGGAGCGGAGAGTAAGAGAAGGAGAGAGAAAAAGAGAGAGGGTGGGGAGGAAATATTTTAAGGGAGGCGTGGGAAAAGGGAAAACAGTAAGGCAGGAAGGAAGGAAACTGTAGTTTAAAATATCCATTTTTACATTTTACTTTCTTTTCCCCAAAGCCAATGTTAAAACCAGCTCAAGAAGAATTTGTAGACACAGTGGAGAATATGTCTATTCATTTTAGTTTCGTAGAAACCTATGTGTTCCTACTTAAAAATCTCCGTCTACAATCTATTTGGAACGGCCTGCAGTACACTTTATATTAATCTGACTGTGGCTTCTATTTTTCTGCCAAGCCTTTCGCAGTTAACAACACTTTCAAGATTTGTAAGGTGATAAGCCTTTATTGGGCAGGTCTGTCTGCTGATAGTACCTAGCCGATCACAGAAGAGATCCATCAGAAGTCTGTGGTTCACAAGTCCTCTTTTAAGTATTCTTAGCTTTTATTCATTGGATCTTTTTGGCTAGAAATCTTTGCAACCGCAGTGATTAAACAACTCAAATGATGTGTCTTGCACCGGGTCCTTTTCCTCCTCCATTGCACACATCCCAGTTCAGGCACTCGATATACAGAAATACTGAAAAACCTGGTGCTAATGTTCTCTTTGTCTTCACCCCCACACACTACCCTGCTCTCCACTGCCAGAGCAGGCCGGATCTGTTCTTTTCTCACAGAAATCCAGTGCTTGCTGGCTATTACCCAAATTTCTAACGTTCAAGTTCTTCACACCCCTCTTCCCAGCTTCTCCTTCAGTAGTCTCTTACTCCAATTCTCCATTCAAAACATGCAGACTTACTTGATGGAACTTCAAATGTGCTCATTATGATCTCAGTGCTGTCACAGAGCTCAGCATCCCCTTGTCTAAAATGTCCCTCTCTATCCATCTCTTTTCTACCTGCCTCTTTACCTACTCAAATGCCAATAAGGCCAATATTTAATGTTAGCTTTTTTCACAAACCTGTACTTGATTGGTCCAAAGAATGAGCAACCATCAGCCCAGCTGGTGTGGCTCAGTTGGTTAAGCATCGTCCCATGCACCAGGAGGTCATAGTGCAATTCCTGATCAGGGCAATGCTCTGATTGGGGCTCGACCCCCAGTAGAGGGCATGGAGGAGGCAGCCGATCAATGTTTCTCTCTCACTGATGTTTCTAACTCTCCCTCTCCCTTCCTCTCTCTGAAATCAATAAAAAATAAAAATAAAAGAATGAGTAACCTCCTGCTCCTTCAGCACTGAAAGTAGGCCTTCTCTTATCCATTAGTCATGTGCCCCTTCTCTTCTTAGATTCTAAGCTCCTGAACAGAAACCATAATTTATTCTTCTCTGCATACATTGATGTGTCATATACTGTGCCTCTCACATAGTAGGAGCTCAATCAATATTGATTGAATGAATAATTATTAAAGTGCAAGAGATTCTGGTTTCATTCTGAAGAAACCCAGCTCAATGTCTTAAGTATCTTGCCTAAGCCTCTATAAAGAGGGCATGGATTTATACAGGCAACTTCCATGCGACCACATTTTAAATAGAGAAAGAAGAGTTTCTTTACATTAGTTATTTTCCTCAGCGAAGTGAGAGATGATTCAAGACACCATATTTTTTACTTATTTTGAGAATCTTTTCAAAGGAAAATGAGACTTAGAGCAATAAAGATAATATAGCCATCTGTTTGTTTTTTTCCTACCAACTCAGTTAAGGAAAATCTTACGTTAATAGTATATTGGCTGAATCCCCTTCATGAGTTTTGAAAATAAAACAATTTGAGAAGTTGAAATTGAGCTAAAAAAGACGGTCTTTGTGTAAATTTTATTTATACATAGTCTTTTTTTCCCCACAAAATTTAATAGTTTTAGAACTGAAGCCTTTAGTTTTCTCCTAAAACTAGCTCTTCTGCTTGAGTTTGCAATTTTTTGTTCATGGCATCATTTCTCTCCCTTGGTTTGAATCCACAGAATCACCAAAACTCTCAATATTTGTCACACAATCACTGCAATGTTTTTTTCAATTATATGTACTAACTCTGTTATTATTTTATACTTTAAGGCAGCGATTTTCAACTGATGTGCCACAAGAATTTTTAAAACATGTAATACCTGTCTATTTAGTCAGGGGCACTGATCTCTTTTCCCTTAAATTGTCAAATAATAATAATAAAAAAGACAATAGTCAACACAGCAATAGCCTTCTGGTGTGAATGAATCAAAATATCAAAATTATACCTTTTTTGTGGTCAGATTGGCAAAATATCTAATATTTTTCTGGTGTGCTGCAGAATTTTAGTAATTATGTGTGCCATAAGATGAAAAATGTTGAAAAAGGCTGCTTTAAGGCACTACATAAATGTCTATGTTTATCTAAAGTTGATTACTTACCTAATTAAGGACTAATGACTCAAATTGACCCTGAGACATTATGTAAAGCTGTCCCAACCAACTTATTTTCATCTTAATATGCTACACTTCTTGTAAACATACCCCCAGTTTCACTCACACTCAATTATTTACAATAAAAAAATATACCGTATCTATTTCCTCTTCTGAATATTACTCGAGATAATCTTCTTGGGAATCCACTATTTCCCTGCACGACCATAGCAACTGCGATAGCCTTCAAGATATACCTTAAACAATATTTTTTTTAAGTCTTAAAGAATTCTCACAGATGTTTGAGCTTTATCATTCCTGAAAACCTTTATTTCATCATGTGTATTTTCTAAGGAACTCCCCATAGTCAGCTTCCCCTTGTCTAATAGTGTACTAGGCTGTACATTCCTAAGGCAGAGTAGCTATATTTACCATTGCTCAGAGTAGATGCTCAAAAACTTTTATTTAATCATCAATATTTCTGATTACCTATCTTTTTCAGAACCCTATCTATCTCCTAAGCGTTATATTAAAATATGGGAAGAGTAAGCAACATGGGTCACATCCAAAAGAGCAATAATGAAACGCTGTGACAGAGAAGGACTCTGCCCTGTGGTGCTTTAGGCACGGGTGCTCTACAGTCTTATCATCACATCTCCTGATTTCTTTTCACTGCTTCTTGGCTTATGCTCCCATTTTTATGTTTTTCTCTCAGTCTTCTACTTTCTCTACGTCTCTGTGTTAGGCCTGCAGGGATATTCTTTGGCATTTTGCTTATCTCTGCCAGTAATACTCAAAGATTAAAATATGTCTGACTTCTGTGTTATACTATAAAGAATGATAATTGCCTTTCTAGGGTATTGCTAATTCTCCAAAGTTTGTGGGGAAAAAATAAAACTAAAAGAATTCAAACTGAATGTCAGTGTTTGTTTTTAAAGCTCTCACATGAGCTGTCAGTCGCCCAGGCTGGGTGCTCAATTGGTTGGGCTGTTCAATTCCCTGTCAGGGCACATATCTAGGTTGTGCATTTGATCCCTGGTCAGGGAGGCAACCTATCTATGTTTCTCTCTCACATCGATGTTTCTCTCTTTCTCTCTCCCCCTTCCTCTCTCTCTAAAATCAATAAAAATATCCAGCGAGGATTAAACACACACACACACACACACACACACACACACACACACACAATAACCTCTCAACACAGGTGACATTAAAGGAAAGAAACAAATAGAGCTAATATACATGTCAGCTATATACATTAAAAGAAAATTTTAAAAAATGCCTCAACAGTTTCTTTAAGCACCTTTTCTTTCTACTTCAGTCCTGTTAGTGCAGTCTCACCATACTATCAAAAACAAATTAAAGCTCAGGTGGAAAGCAAAGGTGATGAATCTAAGTTGAAGTTATTATAACGACTTTCTTTTTTCTTGCTGAAAAGTTTTTCCAATAACTATACTAGTCTTTCTTAGGTTTTATTTATACCCATGACTTCATGATAGAAGACAATGGTTTTCCCAATAAATGTCCCTCGTGAAATATGGAGTGAATTAAAAATAATAACGGTAGTAAGACTGTAGATTATTTAGGGTGAACGGGTAGAAAACCACTTACCCCCCGTCGCCACAGTGATTTCACGTAGAAAATGGCCATAAAATGGAAAATCGAAAGACAGATTCACTCTCTGCAAGGAACAACACCAGAAAAGAAAATCAATAATGCACATAATAGTAAATGCAATATGAAAAGACTTCCACTTAAAAAATTGATGTTTCTACTTTACACCGCTATTATTGTAGTTGACTTTTAAAACCAGAATTCCAAATGATAAAAAAGGACTTTTTTCCTGGTAATTACATGTTTGAAATGTGTGAAAAGAATAAAGTTGGGTTGTTACAGTCTGTTGGTCTGTTCTTTGCTTACAAAGGGAACCTCAAAGTTTTAACTCCAAATCAAGCTATTCTCTCTAACATCCCCAGTGCCTTTCACATGGCCACTGCAAATCAGTTCAGGCATCGTGATGAACATTTTATTCTGGGGTCATCTCCAAAAGAGTCCTCCTTATCTGTCAAGTTATATTGAAAAAAAAAATCAAAAGATTTTCATTTACATAATTATGTATTCAATTTGTTTTCTGTTCATCTCGCAATGCAAGGCAGCTCATGGAACAAGATATCTGCACCTATAGACCAAGACCTGCAGACATTTTTATTTTTTAGATATAATGAACTCTCCAGGTTCAGCATAGTATGTCTATTTTTAAAAGCGAAGAATAAAAAATGCTGGTTATTTGGGAAAGTACTTTTCCTTTGTATAGAGAAAATTTGGGGAGACTTAGGAAGAAGGTTTATATATTTTGCCCCTCTGTTTTCTAAAAAGGGGCCTGAAGCTTGAGTTATATATACATACAAACATACATACATACATATATACTTTGATATTA